CCTTCTCATATTCAGGGTCGTACAGACCTTGCCGCTCTGGCAGAGCATTGGCCCAGCCATAACCCTTTTCGGGTTGGTACTGAGAATACTCATGAGGAGCCTGTTCTTCACTTATATCTTTGCCATAGAGCTCCTCCAAGTTAAGACCCATTCTTCCACCGGGAGCCGACAGAGAATGGAATGGTAACTGAAGGGGATTGTTACTGGGAAGACCCCACCGATTCTGGGATTGAGAGCTGGCGATGTCGTCACAGGATGTCGCAGCGCGAGGGAAGGAACAAATGTGTTAATAATTACCCAGCTTCTGCGAAAGAGTTGAAGATAGAAGAGGGGGGAAGGTGAAAGGTGAACCAAAGAATAAAAGGAGGGGGAGAGAGAGAGAGAGAGGAAAAAAGATGGGCGATTACGGCGGGACAGCAGGTCCGGGGATTGCAAGCCCCCGATGTACCCCAAAAGAGAAAATTACAATGGTGGGGAGTCTACCGTGGCAAAATGTTAGGTGAAAGCAGCCAAGAGAACGGTAAGGGGAGATCAAATGAAAGATGAGAAAGAATAGTAAAATAATGCTACACGCTACACATAATGCTATAACATGCCACTCAGCATCTCTCTGCGAACATCAGACATTTTAACATAAGTTGAACATCGAACATAAGTTAATACAAAGTAGACGGAAACAGCCCAAGTCCAAAGTAATGATAATCATTATGATTACGGAGTGCAAATCATCCCAAGATAAGCATCACTCGGCCAATCAGAGTGAGGATTTTACGACCCTTAGCTCTTTACTACGTCAACTAACTTTAGTGATCTATACTAGTTAACTATATACCATATTAGTATTAGTACATAACTAACTAGTTAGTATATTAGTATATTATATAGTTACTGCTTTCTACATTTATTTATTCATATTTATTAGTTATACTAACTATCCTCTTTCTCTACTCTATAAGAAAACAAGGTCTAGTGGGCCGAACGGCCCCATAGGCCCATAGGCCCATAGACCCATAAAAAGATCAGATCTGCTCATTGGACATATGCAAGCATACAAAAGTACATACTCCCGTACCAAAAATAAGGGCAATCCTCACATGTTGGAGACCCGGGTGAATGGCCCTAGTGGGGCAAAGATGTTGTTAATCAATCCATTTGGTTTCGAGCTGGTCTGCGTTTAGTCTCTCTGCAGGAGAACCTGAAAAAGTACTTAAAAAAAATACTCCAAAAGTACCGATCTAAATAAAAAGGATATCTCTGTTCAAATTCATACAGGAAAAAAGAAGAAAAGAAAAAAATAACTGTATAGTAAATTGTTGCACATCTTAAACCATTTAAGACACGGTTGAAATGCATAAATACCTGTAACGGTACTCCTCCATACACATTCCGACAACGGCCAAATGCCCTGTCCCGGGTTTTCCCTCTCTATCACCTTACCTTGTACGGAGTCGATGCCAATAAGCATGGCCCGATTTCGGGCCCGGAGCCGTTTGCGGATTGGTGACCATTTTCCCGAGCTCATTCTTTGAGGTCATCCCAAACTGCTTATCACGGTTCTATCCAAATGACCTGTTTACTTGGGAGCCATTGCCTCTAGGTACTCCGGACTATGGCAATACTGCGAATTGATCAGTATGTTTCCCCATGTTTTGCATTCCAAAATATGCTTTGCCCCATGTATAACTTGAAGAGTTAAATGGAGTCCGGAGGAAAGTGATCCGTCCAGACATGTGAAGATCTAGAGATAAGGTTGAAGATGATAATAAGAATACATAACTCTGATTTCTCTAAGGATCTCTTCTCCTTTTTTCGTCTAGCTGTCTACATCGTATACAAGTATGTCAGCCCATTACAATGCCTAGGTGGACCTCAATACCATGATCGGGTGGAATACCAGTATTCTCCTATGGATCATTTGTTTATAGTTCACACAAGTTAGCCCGTGTCCAAAGCCGCAATGTATACATCTCCAGGGCTGTTAGTTAATTAGTTATGTACTGTATTATTCCATAACACCGGAAGCAGAGTGGATATCACATGATCCCCTCTTTTCCATTGTCCAATCAAAGTCCAGATGAAAGTAAGAAAGACATAACGTCATCATTTTGGGGAAAGCTGCACCCGGCTTTTTCCGGCTGTCCCCTTGTCCACTTTAGGTTCACCGAGTTGACTGGTATCGGGTAATTTCGGAATATTAACCTTGAGAGACTGGCAAACATTAACTATCAGAAAGCTCCCGATAGTTACATATGTAATCAAGTCTTGGGAGTCAGCTTCCTTAACCTCCTCAGAGATCGACTTTAACTAATGTCAGGCCAATTTTGGATCATCCTAACATCATACTTCTCGCAGTGTACAACTTCAGAACTACATCGGAATTTCTCTAGGGTACAGTAGTTGAAATACCGGTGAAGCGTCATCTTATTTCCTCCTGTATTCAGGTCTTCCCTTGTCGGTCTCAGCCAATAGTCATTTGGCTGGGACCTCACATCGCCACTTGTCCTAGATTTATGCATCGTAGTACGGAGTACATATACAGTGCCTCTAGCTAAGGGTCTAGATTAATGAAAGGCTGGCACAATCATTCACTGGCCCTTCAAGTAGGCGAAAGCATTGGTAATTTGCCTTGAAATTAACACTACATTCCATTGTTTAAGACGAAATTCAAATTGATCCTTATATCTGCTTTCGATGTTAATAGGAGATACTATAGAGAAAATAATTAACCTCAAATTACTAGAGAGAACCTATATATATCCGACACTAGGCTCTGAATGTAGTCGGAGTATGTACTCCGTATAGGGTTGGGAGATTCCCCGCATAGCTGAAAATTGATTGGCTGTGGAGCTCCTAAGGTTTTCTGCGCGCTTTCCCTCTTGGATCTTGGATTATATCGTCTACATTGACATCTTCAATTGCTTCTCTGTATCTTCTTTCCAAAAGAACCAAAGCTCGTGTTGTGAGGTCCTAGCACCAGTGGCCACTCCTCGCCCCACACCATAAACAAACCGCTACTTCGTAGCACAGCTACAAACCGTATCTCCAAATCGCAGGACATCCCCACAAAGCTCTGTAAACAGAAACCCCGGAGTAGGCAGAGTATTCACAAACACAGTATTGAAACAATCATTACAGTGATGCTCACCCTTTCATCCATCACCCCGCGCGACGTAAGTGCCACGCCCTGGCGAGTCAAGCTTCTCAAACAGTCCTGGAGGAAACTAACAACTCGATAGTCCCACGAACTCTGGTTCGGATCTTCACAACCATATCGCTCTACCTCCGATCAACAAGGCGACAATTCCGCTGCCAACCACCTCGCCCGACGCAATGCCAGCGGCACGCCCAGCAGTAATCGCTCATTCATGCCATCCCGCTCTTCTGCCAACACAATTGCCACGTTAGCTGCAGAAGAACGCTCGCTGCGCGCTCGAAAATTGAACATCGCGTCGTTCGGGTATTCATGGATCAAACCGGCGGGATGTGCGAAGACAATGCTCGGCATGAAAGAGGAGGAAGCGGAGCGCGAAGAGGCGCTACAGGCTGCCGCGGCTGAGATGGAGGCTGCAGAGGGAGAAGGAATCATGGATGATATGGGGATGCAGAGAGGGGAAGTAGAAGAGGATGAAGGCATGGAACGCGATTTGGATGACGATATCCCCAACGCGGAGGAAGAGGCCTCGGGTCTTATCGAGGAAGGTGAAGAAGGGCTTGAGGAAGATGACATTGGCGAGGAAGGGGAATATATGGAGCGCGACTTGGATGATGACATCCCTGAAGGTTTCCCCTACGATGACTATGAGGGCTCAGGCCTGTATGACGATGATGACGAAGAGGACGATTTCGACAACCAGCCTGATCTGGATGCGGAGATACCTGTCGCCGACGGTGACAGTGTGAGTGAAGACATGAGACGCGCCCTCGACGATGATATCCCCGATGCTGCAGAGCAAGGCTTGGAGCAAGAAGGGGAATGGCAGCACACAGACAGCGAAGAGGAGCTGAGTGATGAGGACGATGAAAATGAACCCAGTGTTATTCAAGCCAGGTTTGCCGAGAACTTCCGCACCAGCACGCCAAACAGTCGTGGCTTGCCTCCACCTCCGACTCTGCGCCGCGAGCCCGAGACTGAAGCCCAGCGCCGTTTCCTCAATCGCTGGAGCGGTGGTGGCGATGCATTTGATTCTAGCAGCATGCTTTACAGCGACGAAGACCTACGCGCATCCATAACCAGTCAGGGCAGTCGACAAAGTGGGTTTGAGAGAAGGTTCCCGCGCCGCATCGGTGGGCCCAGGGACAGTCTGAACTAGCGAGGCTATCCAAAATGATGTTAGACTTGTTCAGTATTCTCTACGGCTTTTTTTTGTCAGTCTAGAAGGATAGATCTTGGGGGTCTGCCTCGGAGTTTTGATGGCAGCTTATGATATCTCTTTATGAGATAAGATATCCTATGAGCAGATTCAATGAACATGACTTCAAACGCGTTTTGAAGTAGACATTAGTCCCGGAAAGTAAAGCTCAGCCTGTAAACAGTTCTTTTGTTAGGGTAGTCCCTGTATATTGTTTTATATGCATTATGTACAGTTTGCTTAAAAAGACATTTTCCAATATCAGAGCCAGAAATAACTTAACCGTCATTGGATCATATTGAACAACTTTCCTGAATTATCTCCGGATATGAAAATCAGGAAGATACCCAACGTGCCAAGCAGAAAGGGGTACGTGGCCGACATCTGAGCCAATGGCAGGGGTTTGCATATACATAGCTCAAAGAATCCATACTCCCAGAACACCTCATAGCACCAAAACCAAGATCCCCACGCTGAAGATACTGATAAGTCATTTGCGTGACTCGATCCATATGAGAATAAGTAAAAGAGAAGTCGCTGGGTTTTGCGTGAAGACGAGAGATTAAAAACGATAAAGGCGAGAAAGGCGGGCGTGGTCGACATAGTATAGAGCGCGAGCGCACATCTTAGAGAGACAGCAAGGGTATACGTTCAGAATATCCACACGTAGAAGAACAGGAGGAAGACGGCGAAAAAGAAGCCGAGCCAGACTCGCCAGCCGATCCCGGTGCTCTCGGCCATGCGAAGCATGCGGTTCATATTCCCGCGGAGTCGGACTCGGGTGTTGTCGAATGAATCGTTGAGGTCGGTGATGTGTGAGGTGTCTCGGATTTCATCGCCAATTGCAAGAGTGATCTAGATGGTTTCCCTGTCAGCGGTTGCCATTCCAAACGGCCACCTCCTTTTGCTGGGTCTGGAGATATGGGTGTGAGGCTTCTTACATTCTTCAACATTTTCACTTTGGCAGTGATACCCTCAACTTCGACGTCATTTTGTGACTCGAGAGATGAGAGAACTGCATCGGAGTAGTGCCCCCTATAACAAAGCCTTGGTTAGCAACTATACATACATCCTCGGGAAGAACGACGGGCGACCTCAAAAGATCATGAGCCACTCAACGCACTTTTTGTCGGGCGATGCACTTTGATATCCCGCTCCAGCTGCACCGCTACTCGCATAACCATTAGGTGCTGGACTGGAGTAGCCTCCGTACCCGTATCCACCTGGTTGTTGGGCAGGCGATCTGCTAGCTTGGCGGGAGTCGCCACCGTATTGATCGAAGAGAGACGAAGAGGCGCGAGGATCACGTTGACGTGGAAATCTATTTATATTGCTGCTGCATTAGCTGACTGAAGGCGACCCCCCACAATGAACCGAGAGATTTATGGTGGAACTATACCGTGAAGCCATGGTGGTCGTGGAATGTAGCTAGAGTTCGCGACGGGGGAAGAGGAGGAACATAAATCGCAGATTGATAAGTTGTTCAACGGCAATCGGGCATTTCGTAAAGGTCAAAATCCAAGGCGATCACTGTTCGAGTCCTCGATGCTTGCGGAGATAAAAACATCAAGGTGGCCATAGCGTTGTCATTCGCCGAACAGTAGAACAGCACGTGATAGCCAAGGTGCTGGAACATGCGGGATATACAGCAGTTGCGGTTCGTGTGGGAATCTGTTTATTGTCAATTAGGTCAGTTAGAGTTGATTATGATGGCATACAATGGGCAAGGCATTGCTCATTCCAAACTATAGCCCGGGAGATATCCATTTTGTCTACAAATTACATCATCATAGGGTGAACATCAGCCAACCTATAATGGACTAAGTATGTATTAACGGGGTTGAGGACAGAAATCCGAAGAGATATTCATTGATTCATTGTCGTCACACAGATGTGAGACATGTTATGGACACACGCGAAAAGAAAACATCGTGGACCGATCCGTGGCGCCTATCGTTCAAAGCAATGCTATGCCACCCGGAAGTTTTGTATTCATCGAGCTTAGTCGCGCATCTGATCATCATCGTTGGTCTCGTTGTCCTCACGGCTCTGGTATTCCTCGTCATCATCCTCGTCATCCTCCATCTCATCGGTGGAGATCTTGGAGTAGTCAATGACTTTGCCGCGTGTGCGTCGACCGCCCTGGATGATGTTGCTCTGGTCGATGGGGTCGTTGAGATTGTCTTGTGCGTCCTCATCCTCATCTAGGAGCAGAAAGGGTCAGTATGGAGGCAATTGATGGTCGTTCTGGCGCATGTGCTCATTCAGATATGGGTTGCTTGGGTGATAGTGGGGGGTAAATACCATTGTCAGCCTAGTAACACGTAAGTAAGTTAGAATAAAAGAAAGCGGTTGGGCGCAGAAATTGTAGACTCACGATCTCATTCTCGCTCTCAGACTCGCTCTCCTCGTCCATGCTCATATCTTGCGTGGGGTCAGCCTTGCCCTTGCCTTTGGCGAAGGCTTCTTCGTTGGAGTTGGAAATAGTCGCCTGGTCAGCCATAGTGAGGATTGTTCAGAGTGGATGGAGAATTGTAGGAAGGATGGTTGGTGGGAAGGGGGCAAGGGGAATTTAAAAGACGGTCTGCAAAGTAAGGTCTTCCCCCTCGAACCAAAACAACCTGTAAGGGCGATCTCACCTCTGATTGGCTGTCGCGGGTAATCAAACCCCGTGACAAATCTTGCCCTGAGGCATCACGACGAGTGCCAACTGGAAAGGAACCGAAAATGAATAGAAAGAAGTAAAGTAAGCAACTATTGGAGATTACCTACATAGCAATATAAAATCTATCCAACTTGTTAAGCAAGTGATAGCCCCAGGCCATTGGCAATATTACAACATACTTGGGCGCTTCTTTGGTCTGCATTTGTGAAGTGTGAAGAGGCAAATCTCATATTAAAACTCATGATATCAGCTATTCAATTGTCAAACCATGAAAGTGAATCAGCTTTCGAGAGCAAAACATCTTTCCACAGACGTTGCATTATTGCCCCACCATTTTGGCATCGAAATTTGCTTGCCTGCTCCGAAAAAGAAGAAGACAAGCAACATGTTCAGGTTGAATCCAGCATCGAACGCAGCAGCAATCAGGTAATTATACCGCTTCCAGACCTCAAAATGGCGACGGTAAGCCCAATACATTACAACATATCCACCAATGATGGCAGATGTGTATCCAGTACTGATGTTACCATAGAACATCGCCAGTCCTCCAAAAAAGATACTGACATTCCACAAGTCAATTCGAAGCCGAGGCAAGAACCAGTGGAAACAGAAGAGGATGGGAGGAATTACCGCCCCGATAAGGAATGACCAGGGAAGCACAGCCATTTCCGTCTCAGCAAAAAGCCTCTTTGGACCAAGCACAGCGTACTGAACTCCCATTGTATTGGAGGTCCGCAAGGACTGCCCTGTCCATTGATTTAAAGGGTCTGTTTTCTTGCCAGTCAAATAGTCTCCTTTGGTGTCCATGATCCAACGAATGACGGCATAGTTGATGGGAACGCCCATGCAAGTGCCGAAGATTTGAGAGAAGAAAACTGTGCGGGGTGGAATGTGCATGTAGTGACCAATCTTTTGGTCCTGGAGCATATACTGCGCGCGGTACCAGGCGTCACCCGCGATAGACCCATAGACAGAAGGACCACAGGGGTGTTGGTGGGCCTCACCGGCTTTTGTGTGGACCATGTAGCCGTACATGAGTTCGTTGAAAGAGCCGGTCTCAAGCTGGTAGTTGGAAATGGCGTAAAGCCAAGCAAACGGGATGACCAGGACGGCAGCACTCGCAAGTGCCACAAACAACGTCCAGATTGGGATGAAGAGATGGCCGAGTGCGAGGAATATAATCAGAATGACAAAGGCCACGGAGAATAGAATAGCATACCACCACCATGGAATCTCTTTGTACTGTCTCTGGATAACGTTGAGACGGTCATGATACTGGTGATGAATGCCTTCGTTCTTCGTGGATTTTTCTGCTTTGCGAGACGACCAAATTCTTCGGACATTCGCGGAAATCTGTGCGTATCCAAATGTCAAGATCCAAGTGACCGCTGCTGGAAGCTTGGCGTAGTCGAAAAATGTCGCCCATACATTTTGCAAACCCATATACATCGGCCCATAGTCCTCATAAGCGGTCATGTTCAGGTGATAGTCTGGGGTGAGTACGTCGAGGGTTGGGTAGGTTGTACCATTGCCTAGGAAAAGGCTGTTTGACATGAGTCCGTGCTTGAAAGAACCTAGATTCCCCCACTTCGCCGCAGGAAGCAGGACCCAACAGTTGAAAGCAAATGCCAAGAACAAGATGACCTGAGTCCAGTACGGGGTCGTCATGATTGAGGATCCATTCCAGTTCACGTTTGACCAATCCAACGAGAGATTGAGGAATCCCATGCCACCGATACCTGAGCCAATGAAGTTGGCCACCGGATTGCGAGGTGCCACCCAGCAGAGGAAGGCCAGGGATGAAGTGAACGGGAAAACATACTCTGGAAGGAACTGCCACATAGTCATACCTAGAAGCGCGAAAAAGAACACCTTCATCTGGCGCCGAGCGAGAGCCGATGACGCGTCTGTTTTGCGGAAAGTTTCGAACAATGTTGTCTGCATCAAAGCTTTGGGCCAGATGTATTCGGGGTCAGGCAAAAGGATTTGTCGGGCAAGAGCAGCAAAGGAGTAGCCAATCCATACGATTGAAAGCATGAAAAAGATCGCAACGGCCGGGTTGACTCGTGTTCCGTACCAAAGCTCTGCTAGGACGATGGGAGCATATCCCAGGTTGTACGTAGCCCCAGAAGCTGCAGTCAGTGTGACCAAGACATGCTCCTTGATGCTCCACGGGGCCGGGTTCAGGCTAAAAGAAAAGCGAGTACCAGGTAGTCCAATCTTCCAGTCAGGAAGGACTTTGGCCATAAAGTGACCGGCATAGTGACAGGCGATTTGGACAAAGAAGACGGAGTATGGTGCCTTGGTTGTGCGGAAGTAGCTCATCTGTGACAGAAAGGCTCCAGGGATAACAAAGATGATGGAGAGCACAAAGTAACGGAAGGTGATTGTCGGTAAGCTGGGGTCATCGGTCAAGTTGATCAGTTGTCTCACAGACAAGGGCAATGCAGCAATCTCCGGGTTATCGTGTGTCTCTTGTTCAATGGCGGCTGTTTCCCCCTTGAAATTGAGGTTTTCCTCATCCACTGCGGTTTCTGCCACATTTGGGCTTTTAGAACAGAGCTCTGGGCCTTCTGAGCCCATAATGTCCTGCTCTATTTTGACCTCGGTGGCCTGGTCCTCGAGCCTCCTACGCTTCAATGCAGCGAACATGGTGAGGAAGAGGATTTAGAAGAGGATTAAAGAGGATTCCAGACGAATCCAGATGGAATGGGATATAGCCCATAGAATATATCCAGGTGAAACTACTTTTAAAATGTCTCATGATGTGCGACTGGACCAAATATTCGCAATTGCCCATAGAGAAAAAAGAAATTCCCGATTGGACGAGTCCAGGGTAGGAAATGCCATGTTACATCTACAAGGGTAAAGACAAATGCTTAGCGCGGATGGCGCAAGCATTCTCCGGCCTTTCCGTAAGGCTTAAGAAGAATAAGAAATAAGAGAAATTTTTATTTCTCCGGAGTAGCTCCGATTTGTCTGAATTCGAATTCTGTAGATTATATACGTTTCTTCGTACTCCAGAGGATACAAATCAGGCTCTTGGCAGGGGAATTATAGGGCTGTTCCAAGGTTCTTTACTTTCTTATATGGAGCATATGAGACATAGGTTCTCTTCCTTACAAATAGATAGCCCTTTCCAGGTTGATATCAAAGAGTTAATACCTGTGAGACTAGAGGCTAGTCTGAAGAGCCTACGTTCATGTTAACTAAAATAGTTACTTCTACAAAGCGACCTTGCAAGTGACATGCCAGCTGAAACCGTAGCTACATACATATTTACTATGTACCTCCAGGGCTATAAGTAGTTACGTAGGGCTCAGGGGGCAGGATTATGTAATATCTCCGGATTTCCACCGGAAAAACCCGCCCAAAGTTATTCCGCAGTCCGCCACCGATTTTTATTTTCAGTCATGAATTCACTATGACGCACACATAATTGACCATACCATTACCAACAATACCTTCACGCCAAAGACAAAGGACAACATAATCAAACGGTCTCCCATGGCGACTTGTATTCATCCTGTATTAATACAATACCTGACACCGCCTTAAGAGTCATCCCACTATTACATCATACAGCCCCTCCATAAAAAAGCTGAGAACGTCAAAGAAAAACATGAATCGGAATGAAACAAGAGGAATTGACATCGTCGATAATAAAGTTAGAGATAATCAAGTAACTTGTAGACTCGTAGACTCCACTGGGCTCATCTGGAACATATTAAAGTCTTGATGAAGGACGTAATGAAGTGGTTGTTGGGCCATCGAAGCTCATGGAATCTCATGGATCCCCATGGAAGGCTCCCTCTAGAAGCTTCTGGAGTAATACACCGCTCACTATATAGGAGCTTTTCTCAGCCCTCGTCCTTTTCCTCCTCTTCTTTCCTTCTATCATCAAATACCCCTTTTACTCTTTGTACACTACCCTCTTGACTCACGAATCTCTTTCTACCTTTTTCATTTTTTTTTAACGATTACACACATTCACCATGGCTCCCGCCGTCGGTATTGATCTGGGAACCACCTACTCCTGTGTGGGTGTCTTCCGTGATGACCGCATTGAAATCATTGCCAACGACCAGGGTAACCGCACCACCCCCTCGTTCGTCGGTTTCACCGACACCGAGCGTCTCATCGGTGATGCCGCCAAGAACCAAGTCGCCATGAACCCCCACAACACTGTCTTCGATGCCAAGCGTCTCATTGGTCGCCGTTTTAACGACGCTGAGGTCCAGGCCGATATGAAGCACTGGCCTTTCAAGATCGTCGAGAAGGCTACCAAGCCCGTCATCGAGGTTGAGTTCAAGGGTGAGGCCAAGCAATTCACCCCTGAGGAGATCTCCGCCATGATTCTCGTCAAGATGCGTGAGACCGCCGAGGCTTACCTCGGAGGCACCGTCAACAACGCTGTCATTACTGTCCCTGCCTACTTCAACGACTCTCAGCGTCAGGCTACCAAGGACGCCGGTCTCATTGCCGGTCTCAACGTCCTCCGTATCATTAACGAGCCTACTGCCGCTGCCATTGCCTACGGTCTTGACAAGAAGGTCGAGGGTGAGCGCAACGTTCTGATCTTCGATCTTGGTGGTGGTACTTTCGATGTTTCTCTCCTGACCATCGAGGAGGGTATCTTCGAGGTTAAGGCCACTGCTGGTGACACTCACTTGGGTGGTGAGGACTTCGACAACCGTCTGGTCAACCACTTTGTCAACGAGTTCAAGCGCAAGCACAAGAAGGACCTGACCACCAACGCCCGTGCTCTCCGTCGTCTCCGCACCGCTTGCGAGCGTGCCAAGCGCACCCTCTCTTCCGCCGCCCAGACCTCCATCGAGATCGACTCTCTCTTCGAGGGTGTCGACTTCTACACCTCCATCACCCGTGCCCGTTTCGAGGAGCTCTGCCAGGACCTCTTCCGTGGCACCATGGAGCCCGTTGAGCGTGTCCTCCGTGACGCCAAGATTGACAAGTCCTCCGTTCACGAGATCGTCCTTGTTGGTGGCTCTACCCGTATCCCCAAGATCCAGAAGCTCGTCTCCGACTTCTTCAACAAGGACGCCAACAAGTCCATCAACCCCGATGAGGCCGTTGCCTACGGTGCCGCCGTCCAGGCCGCTATCCTGTCCGGTGACCAGTCTTCCAAGTCCACCAACGAGATCCTGCTTCTTGATGTCGCTCCTCTTTCCCTCGGTATTGAGACCGCCGGTGGTGTCATGACTCCTTTGATTAAGCGCAACACCACTATCCCTACCAAGAAGTCCGAGACCTTCTCGACCTACTCCGACAACCAGCCCGGTGTCCTGATCCAGGTCTTCGAGGGTGAGCGTGCTCGCACCAAGGACAACAACCTCCTCGGAAAGTTCGAGCTCACTGGCATTCCCCCCGCCCCCCGTGGTGTTCCCCAGGTTGAGGTCACCTTCGATGTTGATGCCAACGGTATCATGAACGTCTCCGCTCTCGAGAAGGGTACCGGAAAGTCCAACAAGATCACCATCACCAACGACAAGGGCCGCCTCTCCAAGGAGGAGATCGAGCGCATGCTTTCCGAGGCCGAGAAGTACAAGGAGGAGGACGAGGCTGAGGCTGCCCGTATTCAGGCCAAGAACGGCCTTGAGTCCTACGCCTACTCCCTCAAGAACACTCTTTCCGAGGGCAAGCTCCAGATCTCCGAAGATGACAAGAAGAAGGTCGAGGACAAGATCAACGAGGTCATCGGCTGGCTCGACAGCAACCAGACCGCTGAGAAGGACGAGTACGAGTCCCAGCAGAAGGAGCTTGAGGCTGTTGCCAACCCCATCATCTCCGCTGCCTACGGCGGCCAGGCTCCCCCTGGCGCTGGTGCCCCCGAGGGTGCCCGCTCCGCTGACGAGGTCGAGGAGAAGCCCGAGGAGCTTGACTAAACGTTTCGCTCTGAATGATTCTTTATTATTCGGCACTCGTTTCCTTTCACGTCTTGTTTTACGAACTTATGGGGTATCAAGGTTTCCTTTTGCGCACGATTGCATAGATACAAGGTTATCTCTTTTCTAGGGAAAAATTCCTAGTGAATCAAAATTCTTTAATTCAAAACATGTTTTTTCTTCTATAGATCGTAGATTATGGAATATTGTGGTTTGGTTACAAAGTCACCTTGCTCAAAATAGCCCTGCGCTCGGACCTCCACACTTACACTACAAATGAAGCTATACAAAAATTGCATGCTCCCAGTATCTATCATTCCATGCTATTGGACGACCAATTTCTGTGGATATGTACAAATAGGATACGAGATTCAACAATCAGTATTAATTCTCCGCGAGAATCTCCCAACCCAGAACTCCAAACCGATGATGTATCGCAGGTCCTGTTTAAACATCCTGGAAGTCTCCGTTCCACCACCGCTGTAAGCGATGCCCGCTCGTTCGTACGATGCTTCCGTATGTGATTTCTGATGCACGCTCGGGGTACTGTTCGCGCTGGTCACGGCGGATGCGGGTGAGGGCAGCAGAGACGCCCATAGCCAGGGCGAAGAGGGGATCCGCGATCCTATTCGTATTAAGGTTAGAATGATGTGTCTCCTGTCGGAGACGGCCGGACTGTTAGGGAGTCTTTGTACCTGGAGATAAGGTAGACAGGCATGATGCTCTGCGTCTTGGAAAACAATGGTGGTTTCGGTGATTCGAGATGCTCGTACATCCGAGAGCTGACGTATCACGTGATGCGGACGCTGCTTGCTGATCAGTTCATGGCCCTATGTCTTCCACAGCAACACGTCTCCGCCATGCATTTCTCGCTCTCCTCTCTTCTCCTGCTAGGGATCAGCGCACTGGTATCTGCCAGCTCTTTGACAATCACCATCCCCGTCTCTAGTCCCCTCCCAAACCCACATGTCCTCCCCGCAACCAGCCATGCCACTCTCACCACTCTCCCCTCTGGTGGGAAAGATCACATCCTGTCCGCACCACTGACCCGCTCGGCAACATTTGTGTTCCATGATCTCCGATCCTCTGGTGCGGATGCTCAGCCCGAGTCATACTTGCTCGATATCCGCTCTGCTGGCGACTACGTCTTTGCCCCCTACCGCGTCGATGTTGCGGCTGATGGATCCATTCTCGGTATCTGGGAGACTTTCCGCGGGAACCCGTGGGACAACCGTGGTGCAGAGAAATATGTCGTGGATGTTGCCGGAAAGGAGCCGGTTGATGTGGTTGTCGAGGCCAAGGTTCTTGGACGGAAGGTATTTTATGAGCAGCGCGCTCAATGTGAGCTTCCCTTCTCCCGCAGATACAATCTGCAGTAAATGTCTTAAGTCGTATTAACCATGGATTGAATGACAGTCTCTCCCTTGAGTCTTGTCAAGAACCCAATGGTGTTGCTTGCAGTTGTCGCGCTGGGTCTTATGTTTGTCATGCCCAAGCTCATGGAGAACAGTGGGTCTATTACCGTTAACCATAACTGATGTTGCGCCTAACTCTGTCTTCTAGTGGATCCTGAGATGCGCGCCGAATTTGAGCAGCATTCTCGCTCCTCGCCCATCACCGGCGCCACTTCCAATGCCATGGGTGGTGGCGGTTTTGATCTGGCCGGCTGGATGGCAGGCACTGGTGCCCCTAACCCCACGGCCAACGATGGGGTTCAGGCTGGTTCAACTGGTAGAGATACGAGTGATCCTGCCCGGAGGCGCAAATAGAAGATCATTACTTCATTATATTGACCGTTCTTGAGATGGTATCTTGTCATTGTTTTGTGGCTGATTGTATGATACAAAATTAAACTGAAGCTGCTCATGGCTCATAAAGTTGGAGCCAATTCCGATAAATGACTAGAGCTGTTTAGCGAAACAAAAGCAATCCTCCCAAATCCCTCCCGATACCAAAGCGCCTATGAGCCCCTCGAGCTGTACACGGGCCCGTCCCTTATCCCGAAGTCCATCCTAGTAACAAAGCAAAGAAGAAAAGAGCAGAACAATCAAATAGATCGAAACGCAACCGAGCTCAGAAGTCGCCTCCTCCGAAGTCATCACCACCACCGTAATCGTCACCGCCGCCGTAATCATCGTTGTCATGATGATCATCGATAGCATCAGCAATGAGCATACCGCCAAGCAAACCTCCACCAACACCCAGAGCAGCAGCACCGGCAGTTCCCATACCTCCTCCACCTTGTCTTCGGGGCGGCTGCTGTTGGTAATATCCACCCTGCTGTGGGTATCCTCCATATCCACCTCCGTACCCCGGTCCGGGAGGTCCATATCCAAACTGGGAGCCATGCTGCGGAGGATAGCCTCCACCGCCGTAGTATGCACCAGGAGGAGGACCTTGCTGAGCATACGAGGCGTACTGTTGGTGTGGCCGAGATGGCCTGCTGCTTGAACTCGAACTCTTGCCCAGCAGCTTGCTCAAGAATCCACCCTTGCTGCGCTTCTTTTCCTGCTCAGGCATCGGGCTATGCGACGCTGAGCCGGCCGCATATCCGCCTGGGCCGGTGGACTGCGGCCGAGAGGCATCGTTGTAGTAGTCTGATGATGCGCCACGATCTCCCGGTCCGGCTCCGGCTCCTCGTATGCCGGCCCGAGCGTCTTCCTCAGCCTGGAGCTTGGCGGCAAGTCGTGCGTCTTCGTCGATCGTGTGAGGGCTGGCGTTGCCTGGGCCAGTATTTGTTGAAGGGTTATAGGGGTTGTTTGATCCCATTGGTTGCTTCTGGTCTCCCGCACTGCCTATTGCTGTTGGGTTGCCAGGCCCGGTATTGCTGTATGATGGCGGGAGAGAATCGGTTGGAAGATTGCCGTCACCGTGTGGTGGGGGAGCTTCCGGGCGGTCCCATTGCGATTTGCCCGTGGCAAGGTCCACATAGAACCTACATGACTGTCAGTATTTGATCTTCATTAAGATAGGTGGATACATACCAAGCCTGGTATCGATCGTCATACTGCGCTTTCCATCCCTCAGGTACCGAGGGCGGGGGAGGCCCGGAAGGCGGGGCGAACGACATAATGTGATAGGTATGAATAGCTTGGATATGTCACACGGCTTAAAGTTTGAATTGTGGCAATGATCAATTAGTCGGGTTTAGAAGAGTATAAGTGAGAGAGTTGAGAGAGTGAGAATGAGAGTGAGACAGCGAGGAGTTCCTGACTCTTCCATGGATATATACTTAGCGGGAAGTAAGCGGAGAACTGTGGCCTCAGGCACATAAACTGCGCCTCCTGGTGGCGGTGCCCTGATGTCATCATATAAAGACCAGATATAGTAACATCATGGTATATTTACAGGCTACCACGTTCAAGATTTTAGCCTATCAGTCATATTCCCCTGCAAATGCACACATAAATATGATTAATAGCAACTGAATGTACTGTCTAATTAAATGAAAAACCAAATCAGAACTCCGCGCTTCTATGCTATGCAAAACACATCAATAGTATCAAGAAATGTGTCACATTAGACTATCTCTTTTTTGATGTTCGGATCGATTCCTCCACTGGCCGGGAACCAGTTATCATCTTCAAGAGCCTCTAGAAGCTCCTCAAGGTCAAACCGATGTCGGTTTGGCGGCTCCGTCTCCTCCATGTCTGAGTCCAGGAGAGTAAGGTCAACATCTTCTGTGTTGCTGATTATCTGACGTGCGAGCTTGCGAGCCTTCTTTTTGCTCCGAGATTTCTTTTTCACTTTCTCTTCTCTGTTGTCTTCTCCCTTCTCTCTATGGTCCTCTTTCTCATCTCGATGCTCTTGATTTTCTTCCCTTTTCACTTCCATTTTCTCGGCTTTTTTCTTCCTCTTCTTCCCCGGCCGGGAAGAGCCAAGGGAAGACAAAGATATAGGGCCCTGGAAGACGAACGTGGAAGGGTCATTCTGCTCCTGGCGCTTTCTCTTGTGGAATCCTCGATTTCGTATTTCAGCCAGTTGTATTTGTCTTTCCACTTCTCGTCGCTGATTCAAATCGAGTTCGGCGCGATCTTCTGGTGGTGGTCCATCCAGCTGTTGGCTCTGGTATTTTTTGAGCAAAGGAAGATCCCCAATTCGATCAGAAGAAACGTCTCGTTTGACGTTCCTAGCCCAGAGGGCAAAAGGCCCCGTGTAAGAGGGCCCTTGACCCATACCAAATATTTCGTGCTTAACAACCTGGCCGGATGAGATGAGCTGGTTTCCTGCAAGGACGCCACTATCACTAGGCTTTTCGGGCTCTGGGGCGTGTTCGAACTCGAAAGTTGTTATATTAGGGTCCGAACAAGGCCCCGATGATAGGACGTGCACGCCTCCTCCAGAACCCCCGACAAGGAGATGAGATTGATCCTCGGTGAAGCATGCGCACATGATCTCCTCATCAAAAGATGCGACATTCTCAAGGAGGACATCTTCAGGTGACCGGCGAATATCCCATCGTTTCAGAACACCATCGGATGCACCGGTGTAGAATTGGTCCATAGACGAACCCCATAGAGCTACCCTGACGCCCACGTCTGCCGTTTCCCGGCTTCTTTGGTGATCAATCGGGTTAAGCGGGGCGTTATGGCGAAGTTCGTGAAGAATTGTATCACCCTTGCGATTATCCCAAACATAGGTTTTGCCATCTGTGCAACTAGCGGTGACATATGTGCCGTTTGAATCCAGTGGACAGAAACTGACCTCATTGACATCCAACGCCGGACAGGAGAATTCCATCACGGACGGCACACGCTTTTGGAGGTCACAGTTAAGGCTAAACACTCTCAAAATTGATTTCGTGGTAATACCAATACCTTTAATCCGTGCATTGTGAGGATCTTCAGGACTGGCCGTGGCAAAAATTGGCAATGAAGAGTGCCACTTAATGTCGAAGACATTATGTGACGCGGAAGCCATCCTGATGGTTTCGAATGCAGCTTCGCGGGCTTGCCACAAGCCTAGGTGGCCTTTGTATATTGGATCCTCTCCTGGTTCGGCCAGACCTCCAGCTAAGAATCTTTTAGTCGACGGAGTATGTCCCCAGGCCAGGGCGGTTGATGAGAACTCAAAGTTTGGCTTATACCGTGCATCGCGGTCGAGGGGAAGGAGAGTCGATGTCAAGTTTTCCGGGTCTCGTGTGTCCCAGACCAAAATTGATTCTGTCCCTGTAGCCAATATATCCGGATCAAATTTTGAGACTGACATCACTGCCACTCGGGACTCATGCTGTAAGGTATGAGTGCAAGATACGTTGCGGATTGATTCCACGTCCCAGATCTTGACAGTTTTATCAAAACTAGCGGTGTAAAGTCGGTTACCAATCCACTGCATATTATTGACGCTCATGAAAAGCCGTGGGTCATCAACCGTTGACGTTGTTGGCCGTGGAATCCAATGGTCCGGAATTTCCTTTAGACTATTGTTCTGAAGATCACCTAAAAGAAGGTTGTTTGCCTTGTTATACTGCATATTATGTTCGTCTGATTTAGCTGCGGCGCCTGCCGCAAACTGAGTGCCATCAGGCGACCAAGCCAGAACAAGCAGATCGCCCGAAGCACCTTGCCATGATTTCCATGGTCTCAGATCCGAGACCATATCAGTGACAATGGGCCGATGATTTCCACCTTCAAGCTCACGCCTATACAGCAGCTTTTGGACATTTGCACGACGGGGTAAAAAACGGCGCGGCTCCTGTGGGGAAGACAACGCGACTGTGTCCGGAATAGCTTCGACATTTGTGTCTGGCTCTTCAGGTTCCAGTGGAATATTCACCCATGGATTGGCGTAATAGTTGGTTGGTTGGACTCTATTTCGACTAGAGCGACGAATGGAATTTCTCTCGGCGGTCGGCGATATTGACCGTATTGACCGCGAGGAGTGAGGGGATCTGGATGCTGATGACGTAGCATCCGGTGGGTAAGAGAAGTGCTGCTTTAACTTAGGAGCAACTATCTCATCGTTCCTACTGGCATTTGATATTGCCACACTCTCCCTAAGAGTTCGTTGGCGCTCGCGATGGCTTGGAGAGATGCTATGTGAGGAAGATGTGGAGACAGAAACAGATTGGGGAGATGGAAGTCGGGAAGGAGCGCGGGAGGAAGCGCGCGAAGAAGTGCGACGGGAAACCCGGATTGGACTGCCAGAGGAAGGAGCGACAGAGTGGGAAGGAGAAGGTTGAGTGGCATGGCTGCCACTTAATGAACGAGTGAGTCGAGGTGATATTTGGCGAGGTGAAGCCTCACTAGGCTGGAATTCAGGTTGCGGAGTCTGCCAGGCATCTCGGACCTCGTCTCTCGTATGGGTAGAGGTTGCCGGAGTTGACGAACCCTCTGATAGAGAAGAGACCCTAGAATACTGCAGCAGCAAACGCAGAGTCTCACGTTGAATATCTGGGTTTTCTGGGATGCTTCGGGCTGACAGACCAGGGAATGTAGGGACTATACCCTGGCCATTAAGACTGGAAAAGCCGTGGGACATTTTAGTACCACAGCTGATGTTCTGAGCTAGGGAAACAAAGCAAGGTCAGATATGAATGATAAAAGGAAGAAGAGCTCTCTTACGTGATTGACTTGATTGATATTGGTTTGGGCTCGCTCACGTCTGGTGTCGGACGATGGCAAAGTGAGAAAGACATAACATCGGCCCCGCACTCACTTTGTTCACACTAAACCAGAGGTTTCCGTTACTGCCTTCCAACCCGCCGATCCCTTAAGTCTGTTTCTGTTTCTTCCTTCAGCAGAAGCAAGCCTATGTCTTTGGATGATCT